CTCTCTCTCTCTCTCTCTCTCTCTTTTTCTCGTTCTCTCTCTTTCTCTCTCTATTGCTCCCTCTGTTTTGTTCCGGAGCCACCTTTCCTAGGAGACATTATTTAGGGCAGCCCGCTTCGTAGTCTGAGAAAAATGGGTTTTAATCGAAGACTTCCCAGCTCATCATAAAGAAAAATGCTTCTTGGTAATTGTCTTCTCCACCTGTAGTTTTTTTTCTTCCTAAACCAACCTCGGTCATCAAACCACAGTTACTATATTATAAAATGCAACGTTTGTATTTCCATTCCGTAGTTAATTTTGTTTGGAGTACAATATTACGAGAGAGGGCGTCAATATTTGCTAGTCACTACTAGTATCGCTAGAACGTTCTTCTTAGCTGCCAGAACGCAATGATCTAGTCAGCTAGTAACAATCTGCTAGTACGCTTCAGTTAGCATCTAAGTAGCCCCCACTATACTGCTATAGAAATAGCAAACTGCTAGCACGATTTATTCTAGTTAGCTAGGAGGAAAAAAGCTGCATGTTTGCTCTAGCTAGCACCTAGTTAATTAAGCGCCAGTAAGCTCCCCAAAAGCTTCAAAGTAGCTGCCAGAAAGCTGCTAGCATGTTGCTAGAAACCTGCCAGTAAGCTCCCTAAAAGCTTCAAAGTAGCTGCCAGAAAGCTGCTAGCATGTTGCTAGAAACCTGCCTGAAAGCTGCTAGCTCTACGGAACAGACCCCAGGTAGCCCAAAACGCGGTACTGACGCGGTACCCCCACTGCTGTCTCTGTTGTAGATAAGAAAGAAGGCGGGGCAAAGTGCGAGGATCCAATAACACTTGCCGTGACTGAGCACGGAGAAACGTGGTTCCCCTACTCTGAGGAACCGTGCTACCAGTGCAAGTGTGAGGATGGGGACACCAAGTGTGAATATTTGGAATGTGCTGAGGTGACAAAATGCCCCGACGGCTCAGAACCCTACAAAGTCGAAGGAGAGTGCTGTGTGCAGTGCCCAACAGAAGGTACAGCATTGCACAACAGAGAGGGAGAGAAGGGGGGGGGGGGACAATG